GATTGCCCACAACTGCTCTCTCCTGTCAGCCATCTTGTGGCAGCCATATTTTGTCTACTTGGGGACAGCCATCTTTGATCAAATGGGAGCTGCCATCTTTGACCACATGGTGGCAGCCATATTGTGTGTTGGAATGATGGTCAATTTGCATATTACTCTTTTATTAGATTGGATATGGTAAACATTTTTTAGATTGGAAATCTCTATGAAGGGCATACTAGAATTCTTTATCTTTACATGTTTTCTGTAAGATATTATTTCAAAGCAACTAAAACATGTTCCTACTGGTAGGGAAATCGAAACTGGTGCAGTGTTTTCTTTAGGAAATTTTAATAATGTGTATAAAAGGACAAAGTATATATCTTTTGAACTAATAATCTTGGTAAACTAATTGTGGCAAAATACATAAAACTTGCCATCTTAGCCACTTTAAGTGCACAGCTGGATATTCAATATCTTCATAATGTTGCCCAACCATCACCACCACCAGCTCTATAGTTCTTTTCATTTTGTAATGGGCATTAACCTTAACTTTCCCAATTCCACCTTTCCCCAGCCCACCATTCTACTTTTTCTCTTTATAAATTTGATTACCCTATGCATCTCATATAGTGGAATTATGCATTATCTATCTTTCTGACAGGATTATTTTACTTAGCATAATGTCCATAAGATTCATTCATCCTGTAGCATATGTCACAATTTCCTTCCTTTTTAAAGCTAAATAATGTTCCAGGTATTTATAAACCACATTTTTTTCTTATATATTCATCTATCAGGGGGCACTCTGATTTCTTCCATGTTTTAGCTGTTATGAACAAAGTTCCTATGTATGTGGGTGTATATAATAACTTTTTGTGAAATATTTTGTTCATGAACTTTTATTGTTCATTGAAATGATACTGCAAAGACATAAAATAAAATGTTGGTAGTAATTTTCCTAAGCAGTGAGGTGATGGCAGTTTAATTTATTTTTGTTTAATTTGTGGTAATTTTTTTTCATGGAAAATATCATACTTTTGATTGAGAAAAATAAGTTGCATTGGGTGGTATAAGGTCCCCAGTCTAAATGTTTAGGTAGGTGTACAGTTAAAGGTATACAGCACAGTTAGAAAATTTCTTCTCCATAGTAACCAAAGTCATAAATTACAAAACACCATTAAAATTCAATAACAGTAACCACACTCTCAAGGATATATGGTGCCCTTAATAAGAATGGTGCTAATATTCTTACTATGTAAGTGTAACTGATTGTAGACCAATTTTCTCAAAATATGTATCTGAGATTACCTGCATATAAATCACTTAAAATTATAGTAAAATATAAAAAAATACTTGGAATTAAAATTTCTGGGATTGAAGTAGTTAATGTGCATTTGTATAAAGTTGTCTAAGTCATTCCTATTTCTGTGGTGTTTGAAAAATTACACTGTATATAAATCCAATTTGTTAGGAACTGGAGTTAAAACAACATGAATAATATTCAATAGTTTACTCTTTGAAAGGATCACACAGTAATTCTTTGAGTAGAACATACCCATTCTTTTAATGAAAAATGCATGTATGTATTCTTGAAGGACATCTTTATTTAAAGTGATGTACATGCACATATACTGTATTTAGGAACATTTGAGGAATTCTATTCTTTTGTGTCCATCAGAAGATGACTATGTTTTATGTACAATGAATATATATATATTCATTGTACATAAAATATATATGTATATATATATATATGCAAATTCAGAAACCACACAAGGAAAGCCTATAAACCCATCAGCTGGATCTGAAATAAAGATGAACTACCTAATTATGTTCTAGGAGCATTGATCCATTTATTACATTTGTTTATATTCTGTACTTACATCTTACTAGAAGCCCGGTGCATGAATTCATGCACAGGTGGGATCCTTAAGCCTGGCCAGGGATCAGGACTGATTGGGGCCTGGCTGATCGGGACCAGGCTGATTGGAGCCAGGCCAATTGGGGCCTGCTGGCTGGGGGAAGGGACAGGAGAAGGGTGGCTACTGGCTCCAAGGAGGGGGCCGGCCCTTGGCCCCTGGGAAAGGGACTGCATCTGCCCTACCTGCCCCTGGTTCACCATCCCAGCCTGGGGCCCGAAGGCCCTGGCATGATCAGGAGAGGAGGTTACCGTCGCTGGGCCGAGCATAAAAGGAAAGGACACTAGAGGCCACCAGAGGTGCTCCACCACCACGTGGTACCCCCTCTTTTTCTTCCACTGTACCACCACCATGGTAGATGGGTGGCTCCGGGAAAGTGAGAGAATAGGAGCAAGAAAAACCCTTCTGTCGAGGGCTGACTTTCAGTAGATTGCAGCAAAGGAGCTGCTCTTATACATAGGAAACCCCAAACCAGAAACAGGTCATCTACGAATGGTTTAGCACCAATGTTTTAGCAGCCAATAGGGGTGAGCTGGCTGGAGGTAGGGGCTGTGGGAGCACACTGCCCGCTAGTGGTCAATGTGCATCATAGCAACCGGTCGTTCTGGTTGTTTGGTCATAAAGGTTGTGTAGGCTTTTATATATATATACTAGAGGCCCAGTTCACAAAATTCTTGCATGGGGGTATGTGTCCCTCAGCCCAGCCTGCACCCTCTTCAATCTGGGATCCCTCTCAGAATCCAGGACTGCTGGTTCCCAACCTCTCACCTGCCTACCTGCCTGATTGCCCCTAACTGCTTCTGCCTGTTAGCCTCATCACCCCTTAATCATTCCCCTGCCAGCCTGATTGATGCCTAACTGCTCCCCTACCAGCCCGATTGCCCCCAACTGCCCTCCCCTACAGCCTGGTCACCCATAACCGCCCTCTTCTGCAGGCCTGGTCATCCCTAACTGCCCTCCCCTGCTGGCCTAGTCACCCCTTACTGCCCTCCCCTGCATGCCTGGTCACCCCCATCTTCCCTCCCCTGCAGGTCTGGTCACCCAAACTTTTCTCCCCTACTGGCCATCGTGTGGTGGTGATCTTTGACCACATGAGGCTGGCCATTTTGTGTGTTGGGGTAATGGTCAATTTTCATATTACCTCTTTATTATATAGGACTAGAGGCCCCATGCATGAAAATTCATGCAAGAGTAGGGCTTTGTTCCCCCAGCTGCTGGCACAGGCTTCCCTCTGGAACCCAGGACCCACGCTTCCCTGCTTCAGTTTCCCGTAGGCACCCGGTACCTGGGGTGGCTTTCCGAGCCCTGGTTTCATCAAGAAGGAAGTCTGGAAGACATCTGGTCTAATTAGCATATTACCCTTTTATAATATTATTATAGATATAGACTAGAGGCTCAGTGCACAACATTCATGCACTTGGTGGGGAGGGATTCCTTCAGCCTGGCCTGCGCCCTTTCACAGTCCAGGAGTTCTTGGAGGATTTCTGACTGATGGCGTAAGTCCGCTCCCTGTGGGGAATGGGCCTAAGCTGCTGCCAGACATCCTTAGCGCTGTCGCAGAGGCAGGCTGCTCTGCTTGCCAGCCATCAGCCTGGCTTGTGGCTGAGCAGCACTCCCTGTGAAAGTGCACTGACCACCAGGGTTATGGGGGACAGCTCCTGTGTTGAGCGTCTGTCCCTGGTGGTCAGTGCATGTCATAGCAACCAGTCATTCTGCCATCTGGTTGATTTGTATATTAATTACCCTTTTATTGTATAGGATGTCAAGCACATTTCTTTCTGCATGCTCTTGAACCAAGTACCAGATGAATGATGATTCATGCTAGTTGAAATTATTTAATTTAGAATATATATATATATCGATACATGGTAGCCCCCAAAATATATGCATACACACTTTGAATAACTATTAATTTCCAATGGGTTAAATCTGAAAATAAAGAAACATCAATTGAGCTACCAGAAAAAAAAGTGAGAATAGATTTTATGGGACAATATAAATGATCCTATATAATGAATAGGGACTATGCAAATTGACCATCACTCCATCACAAAGATGGTTGCAGCCACAGCTGAGGCCAAGTTCCCTTAAGGAGCCTTAATGAGCAATCAGGAGGTACATGATGCTACGCCCTCTCCTGCCCCCAGAGGGCTTGACAGGAGACCTCAGGCTGTACCCTCCACCCAACAGGGCTTGACAAATGCCCTCATGGTACACCCCCAGTGCTGCATCTGGGGAAATCAGGCTGCATCCTCCACCTGGCAGGGTTTGACAGGGGACCTCAAGCCTTGACCCCACTCAGCAGGGCTTGATGGGGGACCTCATGTTGCACCTCCAGTGCTAGGTCGGGGGAACTCAGGCCATGCCCCCGCCCAGCAGGGCTTGACAGGGGACCTGAGGCTATGGCCCCCTGCTAGTGAGGCTTGATGGGGGACCTAAGGCTGCACCACCCTCTGCTGGGCTGGGGAACCTGAGGCTGCGCATCCCCCCCCCCTGCCTGGTGGGGCTTGACAGGGGATCTCAGGTCATGTCCCCCACATGGCAGGGCTTGATGCAGGACCTCAAGGCATGCCCCCCAACCTGGTATGGGCTGGGGGACCTCAGGCCATGCCCCCCATCCTGGCTCTAGGCCAGGGTACCTGAGGCTACCCCCCTGCCTGGCAGGGCTTGACAAAAGTGGACTGGATCTAGCCCAATGAGGCAAGCGGAAAGGGGGGCAGCCAGGTCTGGGTCTCACTTGAATTTGAGGTGCATGTGGGTGAGCGGGGACTTGCCGATGGGTCCCGTGGCATGTCCCAGACTCTGACAGGAGGAAGGTTTTTATGTACATTTTACTAATTTTCTTTCATCTCTGACACTTTTATTATAGGAAAAGGGCAAATAGCAATATTAAATTATTTCCTCTAATTAATCTCCTTTTAATGTGCACAAATTTCGTGCACCAGGTCACTAGTATATATATAAATCAGCAGATGAAAAGTACCTCTCACATTTTGCATATGGAAGTTAGCAAGCACTTTTAGGAAAGAGTTGCTTCCTAAATTTTAGGTGAAAATATTCTTTGTATCGTGGTGCTATTTACTTTCTTTTTTATTTCAGATTTTGTTGACGGATCTGTACACCACAAAGCCTTACTTATATCTGTGACTGTCTGTAGTTTCCTGTTGGTCCTTATCATTTTATTCTGTTACTTCAGGTAAGTGTCCCACTTGTAGAGGTAGAATTTTGAGTTTATAATATCTTTGTCAACCTACTATCCTACTCGTGGCTTTCCAACCCCAGCTTCCTTTAACCTAATTAGATCTTAGATTTCATTGGTAATATTGTTACTATTGATGGCTATTTGTAATAATGAATATATTAATAGATACCTATTTCATTTGTCTTCAGATATCAAAATCACCCTGATAAACTTCACCTTTAGGGAAATTAGGACAGATAGGGAATTAAGGAACTAGTTACCACTGAGTTTGATTCTAAGCAGAGAAATGAGCATGTGCAACTTAGATTGTTCTTATAATTACTTACTGAGTTAAAATACATTCCTGGTATTAAAACATTCCTGGTATTAAAATATTTTTAAGGATTATTTTAGATAATCACATTCAATGAGTTTAGTTACTATATTAAAAGTAAGTATTGTGGTTACAAATTAAACTTTTAGGCACCTAAAATCTTATTTTGTAGTTTGTGTAATATCAAGGACCTTTAACTCCATGCCTCTTGCCTTTTAAAATACTCATTTATGATACAATCCTGCAAATGGGATTCAAATAAATTTATTTCTAAACATTGGTAAAAAGTTTTTAAAGTTTATATTTACTTATCTGTATTATTGGTCTCTATATTACCTTACATGAGAGAGTTAGCCATAATGTCTTTTGAACACTAGAAATGTATATCTATGTTAATTAGGGGCACCTTAGATAGGGAAAGGCTGTAGGGAATGGATATAATGGAACTATACAGAAACGTTAACAGACTGTGGCCTGTTGGGAAATAATCAAAAAGAATGGAGAAGAATTGTAGATAGTTAAGACTGTGTAAAAACATGTAGTTTCCTTTTAAAGAATCAGTTAGGGAAATAATTATAATTTGTGTTTTTGAAAATCATTATTGAGGGTGATAATACCGAGCATTTAATCTTGCATTTGTTTTTATTTGCGGAAGTAAAACTTGCCAGGATTACAATGTTTTGCCTGTATCATTGCCATTCAGTGTCTAAAAATGATGTTCCTCTGTGCACCTTTAGGTATAAAAGACAAGAAGCCAGACCTCGGTACAGCATTGGGTTGGAGCAGGATGAAACGTACATTCCTCCGGGGGAATCCCTGAAAGACTTAATTGAGCAGTCTCAGAGCTCAGGAAGCGGGTCAGGCCTCCCTCTGCTGGTAGGAGAAGGACATATGGCGTTTAAAGGAATGTTTTCTGAGAGGAAATGTCAGTAAATACAGGGTTTCATTTTACTGAAACCGATAGGGCAGGACAAAGAGGACGTTCTGTGCAATCCGTTAGATATCAGATCTCCGATGCCAGGCTTCCTGATAACATTTTGACATATTGGGGGTAAGGTGATTGTTTTTTAATGTCCGTGTATGGTTACAATCCAGACCCTCAGACATTCTGATAAAAGAGCAGATTAGAGAACATTAAACATGGGGCCATCTTCCCGCTGTTTTCAGCTAGGATAGTATTACTGCACTTTGGCCCGGCTTTTGAAGGCAAAAGGATTACAACCAACCTGGATCGGAGCACTTTTACAAGGGAAGAAGGCTGCATTTCAGCTGGAAGGTTTATGTTTCAGGGTGAAGTCCTAGCTTTTCCATTCAGGAGAGGTTTAATTTTTTGATGGTCCACTCTGCCAACCTTGAAGAAAATATATGCCGAGTCCAAGGCACTTGCTTTAATGAGAAAAACATTCTGTTCCTTTATGGACCAGGCCAAAGAAAGGTTGTGGGGACTCGGGATGGAAATAACAATTTTAATGAGAAATGTTTTCCTTTATAAACTCTTAAGATTGATTT